TGAACTGATCCCAGAACTGATCCTGGAATAAATCCTGGAACTGATCCTGGAACCAATTCCTGAACTGATCCCAGAACTGATCCTGGAATTAATCCCAGAACCGATCCTGGAATCAATCCCTGAACTGATCCCAGAACCGATCCTGGAATTGATCCTGGAATCAATCCCTGAACTGGTCCCGGAACTGATGCTGGAATTAATCCCGGAACTGATCCTGGAACCAATCCCTGAACTGATCCTGGAACCGATCCCGGAATCAATCCCTGAACTGATCCCGGAACTGATCCTGGAATTAATCCCAGAACCGATCCTGGAATCAATCCCTGAACTGATCCTGGAACTGATCCCGGAATCAATCCCGGAACTGAACCCTGAACTGATCCCGGCACCGGTTCCCGAGTGCGGGGCTCCATTTTTTGGGAATTATCAATCACATGCTGGAATTTCATGTCGTTGATGTGGGAATTAATTAAATCCAGATTTTTGTGTCATTAGTCGGGAATCTGGGTCATGATCCCTGAGGGAATTCCTTCCCTTTCCCTTTTCATTTTCCCTTTCCCTTTCCAATTTCCCTTTCCTTTTCCCCTTTTCCCATTTTCCTTTCCCCTTTTCCATTTCCCTTTCCCCTTTTCCCTTCCCTTTCCCGTTTTCCCTCCCCCTCAGGTCATTCCCAGCCAGCACCGACATTCCCTGTGCCAGGAGGAGCAGGAAAAAAACAGGAATTTGGGAAAACCCGGGGAAATGAACCCCAGCACTTCCCAAAGTTCCTCCTGCGGGATCCCGGGACAACGGGACCTTCCCAAATCTGTGGGATGAGGGAAAGGCCTGGAATGTGGGGCAGCAGGAGGGGGAGGAAAACTGGGATGGGCTCTGGGACTGGGAACTGGACTGGGATGGGATTGGGATCGGAACTGGGATGGGATTGGGATCGGAACTGGGATGGGATTGGGAACAGAACTGGGATGGGATCGGAACTGGGATGGGATTGGGATTGGAACTGGGATGGGATTGGGAACAGAACTGGGATGGGATCGGAACTGGGATGGGATTGGGATTGGAACTGGGATGGGATTGGGAACTGGACTGGGATGGGATCGGAACTGGGATGGGATCAAGAACAGAACTGGGATGGGATCAGGATCAGAACTGGGATGGGATTGGAACTGGGATGGGATTGGGATTGGAACTGGGATGGGATTGGGAACTGGACTGGGATGGGATTGGGATCAGAACCGGGATGGGATCGGAACTGGGATGGGATTGGGGACAGGACTGGGATGGGATTGGGATCGGAACTGGGATGGGATCGGGATTGGGATGGGATTGGGATCGGGATGGGATTGGGATTGGAGCTGGGATGGGATTGGGATTGGAGCTGGGATGGGATCGGGAACAGAACTGGGATGGGATCGGAACTGGGATGGGATCAGGATCAGAACTGGGATGGGATTGGGGACAGGACTGGGATGGGATTGGGGACAGGACTGGGATGGGATCAGGGATTGGGATCAGAACTGGGATGGGATCAGAACTGGGATGGGATCAGAACTGGGATGGGATCAGATCCAACACAGAACCAGGATAAGCCCCAGCATCAGGATTCCCATGGGATTCCCGAGCCCCCGATCCCGAGTGATTCCCGTGGGATTCCCGAGCCCCCGATCCCGAGTGATTCCCGAGCCCCCGACCCCGAGTGATTCCCATGGGATTCTTCGAGCCCCCGATCCCGAGTGATTCCCGTGGGATTCCCGAGCCCCCGATCCCGAGTGATTCCCGAGCCCCCGATCCCGAGTGATTCCCATGGGATTCCTGAGCCCCCGATCCCGAGTGATTCCCATGGGATTCCCGAGCCCCTGATCCCGAGTGATCCCCGTGGGATTCCCGAGCCCCCGATCCCGAGTGATCCCCGTGGGATTCCCGAGCCCCTGATCCCGAGTGATTCCTGAGCCCCCGATCCCGAGTGATCCCCGTGGGATTCCCCAGCCCCCGATCCCGAGTGATCCCCGTGGATTATCCGAAGGCGCCGGCACCGCGGGGGGCTGGGAATGTGGGGAGGGCTGGAAGGCAGGAGGATTCCCAGGAAAAGGACGTCGGGTCCATGGGAAGGAAATCAGGGAATTGCTGAGCTTGGAAAAGTCCCCAGAGCCTCCCGAACCCAGCCCGGCCGTGTCCCCATCCCACATCCACAGGGATGGGAATTCCAGCTGGCAATGAGGATTCCAGCCCAAAACTCCAGCCCTTTCCGGGGGAATATTCCCAAAGAAATCCCAGCTCCAGGGCATTCCCTGTCCTGTCCCTGCTCCCGGCCTTTTCCAGCCCCACATTCCAGCCCCGGCTGCTCCCCCGGGCTCAGCCGGAGCAGGGACACGGCTCCGGCCGGGAATGGCCGTGCCCATTCCTAGGGAATGCCACGGGAAGCGCGGAATTCCCTGATCCCACGGATCCCCCGGGGCTCCCGGCCCTTCCTCAGTTTCCCCGTCCCGCGCCGGCAGCGTTCCCGGCCCGTTCCCGGCTCCCCCGGCGGGGCCTGGCCCGGGATTTTCCGGGACATTTTTGCTCCATGAAATCAGCGGAGGCTCCTGGATCCGCACGTCCCGGCCTTGGCTCCCGCGGGATTGGCGCCGAGCCCGCTCCCCGCTGCCAGCCCGGCTCCTGGAATTCAGGAATTCAGGAATTGGGGCCCGCGGCCCGGCAGGGCTCCGCACCGGAGGAATTTTGGGATCGCTCCCAGGGCCGGGAGCTGCTCCCGATTTCCCTGCGGGCCCGGGAGACCCAAAGTGGGAGAGGAAGCTCCAAACTGGGAATTTTGGACGTTCCTGGGGGAGGATTCCGCCTCGTTCCCAGCTCCCGGGTGGATCCAGCGGGATCGCCCCGGGAATCGGCCTCTGGAACGTCCCCAGGGGCACCGGCCCCTCCGGATCCAGGGAATCGGGAATTGCTGGCGTTGGAAAATCCCTGGGAATGGGGATTCCAGCCCGGCCGTGTCCCCATCCCACATCCACAGGGATGGGAATTCCAGCTGGCAATGGCAACTCCAGCCCAGAATTCCGGGGGGAATATTCCCAGAAATCCCACTCTGGACGGCTCCGGGGGTGCCAGGGGTGGGATACGGATCCGGGTATTCCCAAATCCCGCTGTGCCAGGAAGCTGAGGCTCCCCCAGCTGCCAGAATTCCCAAAAATCCCTCCCATATTCCAGGAGAGCTGGAGAGGGGTTTGGGATGCAGGCTGGAGGGATGAGAAACCGGGAATGGCTTCCTATGGAATGTTGGGATTTTGGGATGGAATTCCCAGAGAATCCAGGGCTGGAACATCCCGAGATAGTGGGAGCTGTGCCTGTCCATGAAAAGGGATGATCCCTAAAATCCCTTCCAACCAAAACCATTCCAGGATTCCATGGAAAACCCTGGAATTGTCCCAGGCCAGGCTGGTGCATCCCGGGATAACCGAACCATCCCTGCCTATGGAATGAGGGAATCCCTAAGTCCTGTCCATCCCAAAGCATTCCAGGATTCCCTGGACATCCCTGGAA